GCGCTCCCCGATACCCGCCCCCCTCCAGCTCGCGTTGCCGGCCAGCGCTGCGAGGTCAGCTCCGACCGCCAGCGAGGGGACGGCGGCCAAGCAGAAAGCCTGTAGCAGAGGAGGAATACGTATTAAGTTTCTGCAGCGATCCTTCTTGGCTTATCAAGGCTTGAAAAACGATGCTTGGCGTCTAGGGATGCGACGGTTTCAGCAGCAGAGCGCTCCTGGCTGCGTGAATAACCGCCTGATAAAACGGGGCTCCCAGGAGCAACGCTGACCTTCGGAGTGGCCAAACAAAACGCTCTGTGTGTGTTCAAATATTTTTCCAAGTCTCTGACAACCCGGAAAACTGCAAGAACACCAGCTGACTGAAGACTCTTCCCTTGCTTCAGTTGTCAGCTCTTTTCCTATTACTGTTATCCAAGATCCATCTGACAAAAATTCCTCTGCTCCACACTGCTTCTCGTAGAAACCTGGGCACTGAAAGGAAGCTTTTTTCACTTCATTTTATCCTTAACATAAATTCTTCTTCAACATTGATATTACTTGACGACTCTTCACTTCCAGTTCCTCCAGGTTCCTGCTTTTTCATCTCCATTTGCCTCTTCACTGCCCTCACTTTATTTTTCCCATGTCTGAAATTCCTTTCTGGGTGTAGCTATGAGCCACGTTGCAGCCTGGTGTAAAGACGCCCGGTGTGGCCCTAATTGAGGGGAGGAACAGGACAATTTGAGTGAGGCACTGCACCAGTTAACTTGCAGGGCTTTTGTAGTTCTTGAACTACAGGAGATCTGAAGTTATTTCTATAATGCTTGCTCTGGTATCTCTGCATGGCTCTGTGCAGAGTAGACTCTCCTCCCGATCTCCCATTGCTTTTTCTTGGGCCACAGTCCCGATTTAACCCCTTGTCCTGTAAGAACTTAATCTTTCTCTCGCTTTCTCTTTTAATTCCCATCTCCATAAGACACTGCACTGACTTTTTACTTCTGACTCAGACCTAGATCACCTCTTCTGGTTTCTGCCCTCTTTATATTATTACTTTTTTAAAATTTTCAGTTTAAGTATTTTTTAATTTTAAGACTTTCTAGTCAGTCTCTCTTCACAGGCAGAGAGTGGTTCACTAATTTTTCTCTCATTTTTGGCATTCTGTTAGCCCCTGTGGTACTGTCAAGAAGGATATGATGCCATTTTCTGGTAGTCTTATCTGCCACCCCATTGCTGCTGTGGTGCTTCTTTAATCAGAATTTCCCTGCTCTGTCTTGAATTTCTTGTATCTCCACTGCTCCCTTCCTTGAGACACCTTCTAGTATGACTCAGATTCCTGTATAACAACAACAGTATTGACAGAGCGATGATTGTTGCTCTTTGGCTTTTATGTTTGCTTACTTTGGTCCGTGTTAGAGTTGGCAGGAATACTTGTCTAAATGCAGTCTTTATTCTGCTGACTGCAATCCTGAAGATGAGTGGAGAAAATCTCTCCCTGCATCTAAAAGAGGAGTTACAACCAGGCCAGGGGATGGCATTGCAGCTGTTTGTTGCATGCCACTTTTTGGAAACCTTTAACCACAGTCGTTACCTTTTCCTGTATATGACAATACTGTGATATCACATCCTTCAGCAGAGGTGATTTACGTCTGTGTTAGGGCCAATGGGAGAAATAATAGCACTGTAAATGTATGCTGCAGGCATTTTTATAGGGCAGTAGCAAACGATGCCGAGCTGTGTCAGGATTCCCAGATTGCACCCATGGCACTTAAACCCAGATCTAGCATATGTTACATGTCAGCCCAATGCCTTGATGTGGTCCAGTCTCTTTTTCTGGCAGATGTGCAACAACAAATGGGAACCTCTGTGACGTGTATGCCTACAGCTCTGTCTTCCTTGATCTTAAATCACTTCCCAAATTGTGTTCACTCTTCATAATCTTTTCATACATTTACAATGTGATGAACTGATCCAGACTAAGCTTGCCAGGATTCCCAAGTACAGCTAGTCTGTCAGCGACAAGAGAAGAGACAACTTTTGTGTCTTTAAGCCAAACTGGTATTTCTGTTAAATAAAAACCAAGATAGAAAATGTTTCTTCCTCTTTTTTGTAACACTCTGATCTGTCTGATTCTGTGGATGTTTAATCTCAAACTTGCTTTGAAAGAATTGTAAAAGGCAGTGAATTTAAACCTACATCTTCCAGAAAAACAAAATAACTCCTCTCAAATCTCCCAACAACCTGTAATTTCTGCCTCTGAAAAAGTTCAGATCGATTTATTCTTTTTGTGTACACCTTTTTAAGTGTCGTGCTGGCAACTAAGCACCACACAGCCGCTCGG